AATTAAAAGAAGAAAGTGACGCTGATGCTATTTAGGTTTCCAAACATAAATTTGGACTGTACTGTAATCTTAAGGACATGCACCGACAAGTCAGGGAAAGGTATGCATGCTTCTAAGGGCAGACAATAGCAGCTAAGTCCCAATTCAGCCAAGCGCTTAAGGATGTGCTTATCTTTGAGCGCACTCAGGTGAGCAGAATGTGGGTATGGGCCCTGCCTTAATGCAGAAGATGTTTAAGATTTGGCCCTCGAAGCTGCAGTTTTATTACAAAGTTAGTGGATAAAATACCTTGCTGTTGTCTTTGAAAGTTAAAAGTAAAATTGTATGTCCCGTCACACCTGGGATTTGATTCTAGGGCAGAATGTAAGACAGTGGTGTGGAGCATAGAGGGTTAGTAGTGGAAAAGCAGTAACTACCATATGCCCTGATTATTTCCTGGGTAGGCGAACCACACCCATGTTTCTTATTTACTAGGTTTAGTTTATTCATAGAAGCACAGAAGAGCTGAGGTTGGAGAGTTGTTCAAGAATATTATAACTGCTGTGTCTTCCATTTTATGCTTGTTTTTACTGTTCTCATTGCTCAAACCATCAGCAAAGGAACGATGGAGACACAAAGCCAGGGATCGTATTCCAGTTCAGTGCATCTTAATGGCTCTAGGGCTGAATTGTTGGCCTTTTCTGAGTGATGCGATTCTTTCAGGCTTCCTGTAATGCTGGAGGTTTCACGTTGTCCTGAAACTTAATTTAACTCCAGCTCCTGTCACAAGGTGCAAGTTGCTGCCTCTGTGCCGGTGTAGGTCTGGGTGAGATGCCAGAGGGGGCGATTGCTGTACAGCTAGAGTCTTTCAGAGCTCAGTCTCTTTTCCAAGGATGGCATACTCTCTTGTTATCTTATGGGCCAGTAAAACAGCTGCTTACCACTGGGCAAGATAGACGCAAGAGTTCAATACATCTTTCTTTCCTTGAAATGAAAAAACTCAATCATCAAACCCAAATATTTCGTGGCTGTAATCACTACATGTTCTAGCAGGGAACACTGTAATCTCCTCCCAGATGACAGTGTGTTCTTCCTCTCCCGGACATGGCTGTAGCATGTCACTATAGCCTTGTCTGATTTACAGCATTTCAAGTGTGAGAACTATGTTATGGCTAAGCTATTTTACTTTGCTTTTGTTACAGTTTACAGTGCAGATGGGCTTAAGCTGTGAACGTCCTATCTAGTGTGTAATCAATGAGGGTGTGGTTCAACTGAGCATTTTGAACCGACATAAGGGGAAATCCTGTCTCTGAATAACTATTCCTGCCCTCTTCTCTGTGCCAGTAGTAGTTTTTCTGGTCCTAGGGTTAAAAATTAACCCTCCCCTCCCTGTGGGTGTATTCATTTTCAGCCAGCTTTGTTCCCTGATCTAGTTTGCTGCATGGTCACCCTAGTTCTTGTGCCTGCGTCAACGGCACTGCAGGAAAAAGCAAGACAGGAGGGAGGGTGGGTGCAGCTGTGTCTTCCAGTTAGCAACCCATACTTAGGTTCAGCCTAACATAAGCATCGCTTTGAGAGTTCACAATCATTTAGAAACAGGAGTTGAGTCTAGACCATCTCTAACCTACACTTCTGTAACATGAGCAGAGACTATATTTTTCAACAGGGAACAAGTTGAGTAACTGGGAAGCTGTTATGGAAGGGCAGACTGCAGAGAGGTGGTCTGGTCTTGGCTGGGCAATGGTCAGTTAAATTCAGGCAACCTGAAACTTGATGCAACTGTGCCTTGTACAAATTTGAATGACTTCTAGACTGGAGGAATTTTGTAAATGGTCTGGATGCAAATGAAAACATGCTGCAGCAGCATGAAGTTTACAACAAGGTGGGACTAAAAGTTCAAGGTGCCATCCTCACACTATGTGAGCTCCTTTGTCTCGCTGCCAGCAGTGCTCTAGTGACTCATGGATCAACTGTGAATTTCTCTCTGCCCTATCTCATAGGTGGAATCGTCACAAGAAGCCAATGCTGAAGTCATGAGGGAAATGACAAGAAAACTATATAGTCAGTATGAAGAAAAAATGCGAGAAGAGGAGCAGAAACATAAAGCTGAGAAAGAAATCCTCCTAGTACGTACAGCCTATCTGTAAGAGTGGCGCTCAGCTTGGGTGTCATTCCTCAGTCACCTAATACTCCAGAGTTGAAAAAGTTTCTTCACTGCAGCCTCTGTGACTTGTCATGCCACCACTATTAAACTTGGCAAGCTGTTGGAGGTCCAGGGCCGACAAAAGAATGTACTCAAACACAATAATAGTAACGACAATGTAAATTTCGAAATCTGAAATTAAGTACGTTGGTTTTTACTTCTGAGACTCTGGAAACGTGACAATTTAAGAATGGAAAAAGTCAACTTAGCTGAATGCTACTGGGGCAAGAACTTTTCCTATCCCGCAACCTCCCCCCGCCCCACAAGTAGAACCTTTCTATTTGCAGTTTGTTTTGTTCTAGCTGATAGATAAAGATAGTCACTGAGACTGAAGGTAGAGTCTCTTGCCTCTTTTCATTCATATTGTTTTACATGTGAGAACAGTACAGAGCTGAACTTGGGAAACTTTGGTGTTAAAAATACTATTTTCTGGAGTAGCATATTTTTTTCCCACTGTTACTTAGCATGTGCCCTCAGAAGGGTGAACAAGTATCCAAGAAAGGGGTAAACACTTTTCTCAAGTTTCCTAAATCATGTTTTACAAGTACCTATGCAGTTCAAAGTGCCCCAAATCTTTGATATTCTCCAGGAAATTCTATAGTATACATATTTAGGGTCACAAATCTTCCAGACTTCTAGAGCAGGTATAGTGAAAAGTTTTTTGAACTCTATTTCAAAACTATTAGCCTGACTCTGTGGTCTAAAAATTTTTCTTCCGCAGTTATACGTTGTATGTTAATTTGGCTGTAAATGTCCTTCTTTGAAGGAGGAAACAAATCGACTTCTGAAGGCTATTGAAGAGGCAAATAAGAAGATGCAGATTACAGAAACAAGCATACAGGAGAAAGACCAGAGAATTGGTGAGCTGGATCGGCTGATTGAACGCATGGAACAGGTATGAGAGTTAACCGTTTGCTTACTTTAAAGGAAATGCAGAAGAACATGGAAGGAATTGGTTAGGTTTTTTCGTTTGTTTGTTTGTTTTTTGTGTGTGTTGCCTGCTGCTCAGTACCCTGCTCTATGACATACCATTGCTGTTTGCATCTCACTTAGTTACTGTATTCATATATGTATATACACCTGGACTACCAAGGAGACACTGTGATTAAGTGGTTCTTCTGTCTGTCTTGTGGTGGTTAGAGTCAGGGCTGCTTAAAGTGTCAGGGTTTATTTAGTAAACCATCATTTTAAAGAATGAGTTTTAAAAGGCCGTTCTGTCCTCCTGCAGTCTACAAGGTCTCCTGAGCCAAATGAACTAGTGACCATAAATGACCTAAAGTCTCTTAGAAATGCTGTTGGTAGGTCCACTAAAGCATATTTTAGTTAGCTCCTATCTATAGCTTAATAATTGGAATTGCACCTCCAAATTTCTCCACATTTGGAAAAAATGGTGAACTGAAGGCTTCAGACTGAAAGGTTTTGAAATTTTGACTTCAGATTTTTGCAGACGGTAGCAGCCTTTTAATCCTTAATGCAAATATCTTACTGGTTTCAGTTATGGGTATTTTGGGAAGGGGAGAAAAATAGTCAGTTTTTATTGCCTTTTAATCCAAGATCTGGGTTCTTCCTTTCCTGCCAGCATTAAAACACTTTCACTTATTTCTCTCTCTCTCTGGCGAAATATTCTCTACCAAACTGTAATTGAGAGTAGTTTTTTTACAATTGAGTTTTAAACTTCTGAAAGTAGAAATGCTTTGAGACACTTCTCTTGTGGTGTTGGCAGCACTACTGTAAAACTAGTTGTAGCAGTCAGTCACTTCTTTTTATTTCCTGCCCTGCCTTTCTTCTCTTTTATGGACTTTGCTTCAGGGCAAAACTTACACTGGTTTTCAGATGATGATTTTTTTTAAAGTATTGTTAAGCCACAGAGTATCACAATACCTCTTTCCCCATAGTATACTTTATTATCTGAACTTCATTTATTGGACATTCTCAGATATCTGAAACAGATTTACATCCCCTGTATCTAGCAGTTACAGTGAAATTTCCTCTTCATTTTCTGGAGTCATTCACCTAATTGAGAATGAATGTTATTGTTCAGTCCTTAGACTGAATAGTTCCACTCTAAAAGGGATAAGAATGGTCCTTCTAAAAGACTGCTGCTCTTAGATGTACTTTGGTGTCTGTCATTTCATTTGATAGCAGCCATCTCATTATCTTTAAAGATCTCAGCCTTGCTATCTGAAATACAGAAGTAAAGAACATACTGGGAAATTCTAGTAAGTGGAGAGAACACAGTACTCTATTCTTCCAGGTTAAGTGTTTTTAACCAACTTTAGTTTAATGCAGTAAGTATTTGATATTACTGAGAAATAGATTTTTGTAAGCCAGTCTTGTTGGATTGACTGGTTAGTCCAATTTACATTTATTTGAGCCTCTTTTGTCCAATTCATGCAAGTCTATTAGTCGAATTAATGATAACACTGAGGAATCAGTTTAGCTTAATGTGCCCCTTTAGTGGCTCTGTTGACTTCCTCTGGGCTTCAGCCCACAACTTATAAGTATTATGCAGTGAGTAAAGATTGCAGTATAGTTCTTAAAGTACAGATGAGCGTCTTCACATTGGTTGTTTAATTTGCTGTTACCTGGCTGATACTTCCAGAGTAAAATTGAATGCTTCCATTAAATTCCAATTAAAGTGAATAGCAGGCTCCTGTTAATTTGTGTTGACTCAATCCCCAAGTGCTCATAGATCTTCACAAGCACGATGCTGGTGGATACCTAAAAATAAATAGGGACTTTTTAGGGAAGAGAATAGAGCAGTACATTTTGTATCTACCTTGGACTGAAAGATCTTTTTGGAGGGATAACATGGACAATTTGACATTTGTTTAATTAAAGATGATTATGACTCAGCTTTAGTCAAAAATTTCAGTTTCAAGGGCAACTGTATGTCCTCAAATGGAAAATTGAGAACACTGATTTTATTTTCATGCTTAGTTGGGAATTTGTTTTTTATTTATTTGTATTCTGTTCTCCTGGGCTGTAGGAAATGCAGGGATCCTGTGTAACATCTGTAACTTGTGTTTAATTAGTTTCTATTTTAATTTCACGAATGATCTTTTGAATTGCAATGAAATGTGCTTAGTTAAGCTGTTACATTTTAACACGTTGGAAAATGAAGGATAACATTTCTTGTTGTTTAGGAGCGTCACCAGCTGCAAAAACAACTGGAACTAAATGAAATACAAATATCTGGAGCAAAATCTGAAAATAACTCTGACAGTGAGAGGTGAGATCTGTCTTATTTCTGGAACTTCCAGAATTGCTAGGAAACTTTAAGATTTTCTTTGTTTCTTTGTTTTTGAAGACATATTTTACTAACTTTAAAATTGTAATTTAGTAGGGATTATCCAGCTGAATATAACTTTCCTTGATTTTTTTTTTTTTGTTGCAAAAACTAATCATCTTGATATTTTATATATAAATAACCTCCATGCATTTTTCTGAAAAGCTGTTTGCAAACATGTAGTGTACATTCTAGATAGAACACGTTGTGTTGCTATGAAGAAAACTTTTAAAATGAATATAGATCCATGCCCATTTGACATATTTTTGAATTGCGTTTTTCTTCAATCTACATTCCCAAATTCAACACAGTATGATCCCAGCTATGAATACTTCGGTTACTTTGTTCTAGACTGTTCAACATATCTTGAAAAGAAAAGAAATTCTGCATCCTGTATTAAGCTGTAGGATTTCCCCAATGAAGAGATGAACTCTTGAAGAACGCAGGAGTTCTGCATAAAACTGCCAGAGGTGTCTTGTATAAAAGGTGACTAGCGGGGAATATATTTGAGGCTTAGCAGTCCATGCAGAAAGCACTTTAAAGCAGGGCTTGGAGAGCAGGTCCACCAACATGATGGACGTTAACATACACGCATGAATAAAATGAAGGTGTGGAAGAATCTGGCATGTGGCATCACAGGGCAGAAATGCTGTGAAGTTATTTGGGGCAGGTGAAGGCAATGCTCTTGGCAATTAGACTTCTGTGAATGGTTGTTGTGGAAAGAGCGAGGCTTAGGAAGATCCAGTGGTGTGGTGGTGCCTGGGCACGCTGTGGTGCCCACCAGTGTCACGTGCATCCATTGAACTTCTCTGAAACTGGCAGACCAGCGTGACCAGGCAAAGACAAGTTTCAAGCTGAGGCGGAGGCAAAGTTTCCAGAGAAACTTACCTAGCATTGAAGTCGGGTAACTGCCATTGGAATTGGAATTGCATCCATCGCTCTCAAAGGCTTATTTATATGACACTGCTTGTGTGGGTAAAGATGAATTATAAGCAGAGACTGAATAATCATACTTGATTGCTACTTATATTTCTGTGTCACCCAGAAACTCAGTTTTAGGGTTTTGGCATCCCGCTGTTCTGTAGGAAGTATACACATAAAAGAAAGTCCCTGCCCAGAGAATCTCAGGTCCTAGTTGAATGGGTCTGTGACCAGCTCAGCCGGTTTCAGGGTAATAACAGCTTTTCACATCAGCCAGTTAAAATAACAACCTAAAGTATACAGATGTTGCATGCAACACAGAACATGGAGATTGAAGATAATTGCCTTCTTCCTTCATCTGTGGGCAACAGGTGCTCCTGTCACTTCAGTGTAGCCTGCCCTACCCACTCAGCATGGAAAGTATGCTGCAGTAAAAAAGGCAAATGCAGTGCTCAGGCAGGAATCTGTGCAGGGCAAGCAAACAAGCAAGCAGTTGCAATCTGTGCAATGCACGCAAGCAGTCAGGGCTCAGATGCTGAAGTCTGTTCTTTGGTTACCTGTCTGTCCCCAGCGCCTGACTGTTCGTCTGATCGCCTAGTGAGGAAGAGCCTCTGGTCTGTTGCTCCGTCGCTACCAGTGTTTAAAATTCTGCATCTTTGAATGAGAGACCAAATATATGTTACAGTTGTAATCAAAATAAAAATTGTGGTTTTGCGAGGCCATACTGTGCAGGATTGAAAAACCTATAGCAATGTCTTGATTTTGAGTCCTTGTCAAAGTGCTGCAGTTACAGTTCTGTAGAGTACTTCACTGTGAATAGGGACTCTTTCTTGCGGGAGGAAAGAGAGTACAATTCAGTCATTCATTAGAATTGTGTCATACAGTTTGCCATCTGCTGCTTTGCCTTAAAATGGTTGTTCTGTTTGCAGCTTCAGCACTTTCATCTGCTGTTCACAGAGCAAGATGAAAAAGCTTTTTTGTTTTTGATTCCCCTCCTCCACTTCTCAAATTCTGTTCAGACCTGAACCTGGGAGTACAGAAATTTATTTTGCAGGCAAGAGACTGCTTTGTTTTGATAATTTCAGGAATTGTACATTTAGATAAAAGTGGCAACTCCTGTGGCCAACATGCCAAAAACTTATTTAAAACCTTGCCTCCTGTTCCTTTGCCTGTTCTAAAACTACTTTTTTGGCAAGCTCCCGAGTCAGCTTGTGGCAGGAGTGGATGTTCAACTTCTGTGTAAAGTGGATTTGAAGAAATCCAGAGTCTCTCTACAGATTCACGCATGCAAACTTAAAACATCCAGAGCAATTACTGCTGACTGTTGATGAATTAATACTAGTTCAGTTAGTGTTCTGCTGCTATTGGCAGCTACACCAAATCCTTGACCCAAGGCTGCTCTGTGGTCGGAGAGCACTTAAAAAGACACCAGCAGATGTGCTTCCTGATTATTTAGTATGTATTTCCCAAAAGTATGCAGGCAGTCATAGGTCAGGATCAGTGTGCCTTTCTAGTGATAGAGATCTACTCGTCTAAAGGCCTTTCACTTCAAGGAGAAACAGACATCTCAAGGAGATGAGCTTTTCACATTGTTTAATTGTCAGCACTTCTGGCTGTGAGTAAGCAAGCCAGTATGCGATACAAAGGTGAGCTAACTTGGGTGGAGACAGCCACTTTGACTGAAAGACTGCCATTAAAATGTACTTTAGACAAATAAAAGTGACATCTGTTAGTGGAATTCGACTTGCGTGCTGAGATACCTCTTGACCTAGTCTTCCTGATTCATGGTGAGATTGTGAGGGTTGTTCACGTTTAGCTTAGACTGCATAGCTCCCCAGCTAATGTGCCTAATTTTTCCATCTTCTGCTAGGTCACAGCATCTGGAGGAGGTAGCAGCTAGCCTAAGGGAGCGAATCAAACATCTGGATGATATGGTCCACTGCCAACAGAAAAAAGTCAAGCACATGGTTGAGGAGGTGAGATCTTGTAAAACAATGTATTTTGAGTCTCTGGGGGAAGCTAATTCTTTCAGTACATAATCCAAAGAGAGCTGTGTGCTGTATGCGACTTCCCTGTGCCACCATAGTTACAAGATGCAATAGAAGATGAGTTAAGCATCTGGACCTAGTGAAGCAGAAAGATTAGATGAAAGCCACTTAATCCAGTCTGTATAAGCACTGTTTTAGGTTATATATTGTGATCTTTAGGCAAACTCCTATTCTGGAGCTCTTTATGGTAGTTCAGGAAATACAACTTAATTTGAAGCATTCAGAGGGTAACTGAAGAAACAATGCAGACTAGTCATTAGGAGTGGAAGTAGTAAGTAAAATCAATTCATTTCCTTCCTGTACAAAAGCCAAAGCACTTCCACTTCAGGCATTAGCTACTTTTTGTTTTGTTTTTTTTTTTTAATGTGGTTCTTCACAGAAATAGAGGGGCAAAAGCACTATTTCACCAGTCTCGTGCTTTCCTGATCTAATTTTCCATAAAATTTTAAGCAGTTTTCTTCAGGAAAGCTGCTTTAACTTGCTGGCCGCCTGTATGCCAAGGAATTGTTCCAGCAGTCAGGAGAAGGCTGTGACTGCAAACATTTCTCTGTCTCCAAGTAGATGAAAGGGTGATATGGGAAATAGGTAGATTAAGCTTAAAGTGCAGTTTTACAAAGCAGATGGATACCACTGTTATACTGAGACTGCAGAGATGGTAGGCATAAGTGACATACCTTTGAGGGGTTGAGTTTCATTTGTATTTGGATATCACACGTCCACAATACCAAATGTTTGGAATTGGTTATAATCTAAAGCATTCTTTCTCAATTCATATGTTCATGCTTAATGATTTGCTATCATAGGATTTCTGATTAGACATGGAGTTTTTCCATCTTTTGTTGAGGTGGTATAATTTTTTTTTTTTTTTTACCTATTTTATATCTATTTATCTATTCCTGTTTTGTAAGTTGGTTGTAAGATTCTGATGTAGTCCTGCTGTATAATCAGATATGTGCTACTGAGGTATCCTGTCTTATGTGCAGAGGGATGCAAAACTGAGCAGGAAAAGAAGTGGGGTGCAAAAGTAACTTTAAAGCATCTATCTCTTTGTGTTCAAGTTCTTCTGTCGTATCCTCAGTACAGAATACTGGTATAAAGACTTAAGGTTTTGTTTCTAGCCCAGCTTGCCATTTTCACAATTTTCAGGAAGGGAGTCTAAAACTGGGCTGACAATCTTTATACCACAATATTCTACTACGGAATCCTTCTCCAATCTCACAATCCAGTCTCTCTAATTAATGGATTACTGGAACAAATATTTCATCTGGAGGCTGTTTCATGCTTGACTAAGCCAACTATCACTTTAAGGGCTTCTTTTTTTTTTTTTCTTCTTTTTTTTCCCCAAGCCAAAAGCACTAGAGGACTTGTCACTTTGTGCTGTATGTAGCAAACCAAATGATTCTGATAATGTGAGGATGGTGGCCTAAATTTTGCCTTTTATTGCTAAATGCGTAGTAAACGGCTCAGTATAACTTGACCTCTAGTGGGCAGAATTGGTATAACAAATACTTTCAGTTCCACTGAGTGTTTTGGCAAAAGCATGCATCAAGATTGGGCCAATGATTTTTATCTCAGAAACTCGCTCATTATAACTGATATTTAACTTGCTAATTCCTTATAATATATCTCTGTTAGTGCCTTCATCTGCACAGAAAGCCTTTCCATACCATTTGGTTATCCTATTTTAAAGAGTAGAATGCAAGATTACGAACTCTCTTAACTTTCAAATGTATTTGCTGTTAGCTGATGTCTGACTACCTGATTTTCAGTATCAGTTCAATCTCTGTAGAAATCTTTTATTGCTGTGTAGCTATAGGGACTATATCTTCCTCTTTTAGTCTTTGTATATTTTAGTTTTTCTTTTTAATTAGTTTCCTTGACAGCTACATGTACACCTGCAACATCTGTGTCTTGGTTAGTGAGCTAACTATTGACTCCTGTAGCAGAGGTTTGATCACGTTAGACAGTGCTGAACACATTAGGCACTTTGTGTTTTTTAGTTTGTGCTATCCATGGTGTTTATAGTACTCTTTTTCATAAAATTTCTACAGTGTTGCTCACATGCTCTATTTTAAACTGAACTCTTTTAACTAAAAGCCTACAAATAGCAGCTCTGTCCAGGTATAAAATGAAGCAGCTGTCCACCATGCAGAAGATAAAGAGCACTGCAGATGTGCATCCCTTTAAATACCTGAGCTATCCATATATGATATTTGTCATGCTTTTGTCTTTTCTGCAAGTAAATATTAGAACAGAATTCTTAGGCTCACTTGCAGCATCACTTACTATGCCACAGATGCTGAGAGATCAGCCCCAACAGTACTACTTAAAAGCTAGGATGCTGAAAGGGAATGTACTCTGAAGACACTGTTTTGGGGGAAAATTAAAAACTAGTGAGTGGTAGCACTAAAATATACTTTGTATAGTAAATAGGGAAGATTTTGGATTTGTGCTACTATTTAAATTGCAGAAAACGTGTTCATCACAGTATATTTGAACCCACGTCTCTGCATTAAATTTAACCTAATACAGAGTGTAATGGCTAGGAATATGTAGAAAAGTCACAGAAATGCAGTATTACTCATTAGTGCAACAATAGCTGGCCTCTATAAAGTTATGTTTTATCTAAGGTTTATGAGGGTACTATAATGATCAATAATTGTAATAGTAATGTAATTGAAAAGAATGACCAAAGCACCTAGGAAGCCTGCTTTGCTTGCCTTCCCCGTAGCATGAGAATAGACTGAGAACAGGCTAACCTGGGAAACCCACAACAGTAGTGGAAAGAATGTAAATAATCGAAATTATCAGCAGTGCTTTTGTCAGAAGCTGAACCAAAACATACTTTATGAAGCGGGTAAGAGCGAGGCACAAGCATCTGCTTACGTGACTACAGAATGAGCTTTATGTAGTAAAAGTATTCATCTTATATTCAGATACAGATTTGAAGCATAAACGGTGGTTTATTCTTTCAGTATAAACAGCAACGGGTTTATGCTGTTGTTGTCTCCAATTTAAGCAAAGTGCAGCAGCAGCAATGAACCCCATTTGAAAGTGCTGCTGAACAAACAAGATATGCAGCTTCAAACTCATATGGAGCACTGTCAAAGCTGAAGAAGTACAGAGAAGAGTTTTGTGGCTGAAAATTCACAAAATAGATTGCTCTTTGGGCCATTTTTAGGAAAAGATGATGGATCATTTGCAAGTGACAGATGTGAGACATCCTAAAGGGAACAGCAAGCAATCAGAAGAAAGTGAAAAAGATGCTTTTTAGTGGAGTCTTACGGTGCACTGAGTAGCTCTAACACTTCCAGTGCTGGTTTTGATGACGTTTAAAAATACATTAGAAGGCTGCGGTCAGTCCTAACGTAGGCGTGCGTGAAAGGGGAAGCTGGCAGAGAGCACCAAATGTGGGAAGCCATGGAGCGAAAGAGCATTAAAGCCTTCCTTTTCAAAGGACCCATCTTGTGTGTATTAAACGCAATAGATTTGCCACCTGCCTTTGGTGGACTCAAGCCCAAGAGGGGAAGGACATCACAGTTCAGTGTTTACGCTCCTTAGCTAAGAAAATTAAGTTTTTCTCTGAAAATAAATCCTTCCCTCTCAGGTACTGATAGAACCCTTTTCAACTTGGCCTAGGCAGAACAATCATAAATTAAATAGGAGCATGAAAGACTTTCAGAACTTTCAGAAGAACTTTCAGAAGAAAATGAATGATTAAATAAGAGAGAAAATGCGAGTTTGCTGAAATCCGTGAGTTTTGACATCTCTGCATATTAGATCCTAGGCACACCAATTTTGGGGCCTTGTAGGGGTTCTCTGCTGTGGGAACTGACATCTCAGCTAGTTAGAGGAGCAAGTGACCAGAAGGTCCTCCTGCATAATCTTATAGCTTTATGCTCTCATTACAGATGACTTAAGATGGACAGATTTTTCTCAGTGTTCAACTTGTTTGTTAAACGAACCTGTTTGTTTCCAGCTTGTGCAGGACTTTTCATGTGGAGTGCTGATGGTTGGAAGTGAAGGGCCTGCATTGGCAGGTGTGCAGAAACCCAAACTCTCTTCTCATACTCTTTGTACATAGTTGGCTTTCAAAAAGAGTGAGAAGAGACAGGTGGCCGCAGTGGATCACCCAGAGCTCAGTGGTGAAATCTGTGAACCTTAATAATGGTAGACTCGGTTAGTTTCTCCTTTTAGTCATCTTTTTGCTCCCGTTTGTAGTTTCTTAAATTACAGCTGGGTAAGGACAGGCTTTCTGAGGCAGCTCAGGAAAAAGCCTGTTTGGTCAGAGGTGGAGCTCACAGCGGGGACTCCCAGTGTGAAAGGTGGAAGGACCCAAACTTCAAGCCTTCCACCAAGGAGGCTCAAGAGCAGAGACTCAATTGGGCAGGCAGATGCGAACGTAGAGGCGCTGTGGGAGGATGTGGGAAGCTACTACCGTGTTGTTTCCTTAGGGGTTGAAATTGCTGTTGTTCAGAAAGATGAGTGAAAGCTTGCTCTTTTATCTGTTCCAATGGTCAATCTGTTTATCTGTGCCAGTGTAGGAGATGGGAAACAGTTTAGTGTAAGATGAAGTTAAAAAACTTCAAAACAACAAATACAAAATTTAAATCTGCAACAACAGAAACATTTCCTGACTCGATCTCCATTTCAAACCTGGAGAGATTTAAGAGAGTTTTAGTTTTGAAGTTTGTGCGATAGAGATGGATTGTATTTTCATGGCACAAAAAGCTCATATGTGATAATCTTTTGTTGCTGAGAAGCAGGAGAGGGAAGAAAACAAACATTTACACGGGTAAGCAAGGCTAGTGGGTAGATGCAGATATAAGGAGCCCTTCTGAAAGGGACTGAAAGGAAAAAAGCCAATTGATTCCATAGCAGGAAATTATTTACAGAACTTAGATTTCACATGAAATCCCCCTAACTAC